TCTCCCCATCGCCGGGATCACCATTACCGATCTCAACTGCGACTTACTTATACATAACTAATATTCCTATTCTGGGGAGCTTCAGCTCCACAGAGCCTCATCTACGTTTTATGCCTTATCCTTTTACTTTACTATGTATAATGAACATGTACATACGACGCGACGTGTTACACACACATCCACCTACAAACAGGGAACACACTAGTCTAATAAGATAACAATTAGATTGCGATGTCTTAACTCAACACCACGCGACAGGAACTCATCAGTATGACGGCTGCAATGCTTAATGGAAAAGGAAGAGAAAAGAGAAAGACGACAGGAAGAAACAGAATGAGAAACGATGTGATTAATAATTCCGTTAGTTGAGCTTTTAAAATTAAGCCATCAGTTTCTGAAGTCTGAGTTTCAGCTATTAACATTTGTTTCATTTGCAATTCATAACTTTTCAATTATTTCAATATTAAGGTTCAAGTTATAAGTAATATTTTCCTGTTATTTAAATAAAAGAATAGAAGGATTTCACTTGAATGTCATGTGTATGAGAAGACATTTTATGACGCAGTCTCTGTGTTTCATAGAAATATTCAATTTTGAAATTTTTGATATCTTATAAGCATTCAGTGATTTATCAAGTGTAAAAGCCAACCAGCAATGAATGTTAGCACACGATGCGGTAAGTTTCCGCTCGCAACCGGAAGCCAAAATTTGTCCTCCGGTACCGTAAAATGAATCCGCGTATTCGGGCACACCGAACAAGCAGCAGCAGCAGCAGCACTGCTATCAGTACGATCACAAACGATTTTACAGCCTGGCCTGTTCACGTATAAATAGGCTGTGTAATTTCCACGTGGAACATCCTTCCATCTGTATTCGGCGGAAGCGGCGCTGATGGTGACTGTGGCAAGATGAGTTAGCAAAGAATCCGTAATTTGGAATAAATCAACAGAAACTGGTACCACTGATGACCATGGCTGTCTCTCACAACGTATTGCAACTGCCTGGAACAAATTTAAAAAAAAAAATAAACCATGCTGCTGAGGTGGATTAAAAAACGGACCAAAAATAACAGTGATAATAGTAGCGACAATAATAGTCATAATGGCAATAATAATAACAATAATAATAATAATAATAATAGTGGCGACAATAATAATGGCGATAATAATACTAATAATAATAAGAGCGATAACAACAACAGTGATAAACCGCAAATGCAAATCTATACATATATATACATATATCATTTTCACTAAAACTGTTATCACCATTATTATTCTTAATATAATTATCATTATCATTAATTTTTGAAAAATAAGCCTCCCACTTTCAAAGTTTAATAACTTTCTGTAAAAATCGAGAATAATAAAAAAAAATATTTTAGAAAATGTTTACATTAAATAAGCAGTTTGAGGTTATTTTTGTGGTCAAAGTAAATACAAGTTAAAGAAAAACTGTATCCAGCCTTAAAATACATGCACAGCGTAACAGGAACAGCCATAAGCAGATCCAGGGCAGGCTCCTGGTGGAGGAGGGGGGACAGCAACGAGCGGGGGAAGAGGGAGGGGCAGTAGGACCCCTTGCGCGTCGATGAACGGAAGGTGGAGGTGGAGAAGAGAGTTTAGTTTTAGCTTAAATCCAGACTTTTACATCACTGGTGCCTGTGTCGCTGGGAGACAGGGGAGGGGCGGGGGGAGAGGGGTAGAGGGCCAAAAGCCTCTCCCGTTCC